TAGAACTTACCAACTTGGTCTATCTTCGAGGTAAACCCACCAGAGCCTTTCATATCCCATTTTGGCTAACCCAGTATTGCAGTTGCCAAGGCTCCCACTCGTAGTTGGGGTTATTCCTATTTAACCACTGTGCTTTTATGAGATTCACTTCAACCCCGGCACCTCCATTCGAACTTCCCTTTTTCTTCAGATTCTTAATCAGTCTCTCCCTTACTTTTAGCTGACAACTCGGAAGAGTTGGTCTCCTCAGGCATTAGGTATCCTATAGGTATCCTCCTTTTGGTACACGCTTCCAGAGCATATGAGGGGAGTCAATAGAAAAGGAACAAATTTTTTCTAAGTAAAAGTTTTCTTAATTTTAAGCTTAAATATCTTAGCAATTATCTCATTAAATTTAATAATTTTTTTTTATTTTAATTCTATATAATTTCAAGATTAAAATAAAAAAATTTTTAACAATTTTGATTAAATAGTTGTTGAGATATTTTAATTTAAAAATTAAAAAAAAATTTACTAAAAATGATTTGTCCCTTTTCTATTGACTTACCTCCATATATTGATTTTTAGTTAGACTTAAATAAATCTAACTGTCTTATTACTTTATAAATAAGTCTAACGATTTATAAACATATTAAGAATATATTCTGAAAGCTCTCAAAAGCTCCAAAATTATATCAATTTTTTTAGTTATATTTATTAACAATTTTAGATTTATTAGATTTATTTATGAATAACTCTAACTATTCAAGAATTGCTTCTAAAGAGGTCTATATGTTAATTAGTATATCAAGAATCACGTGATCTTTTAAATCTAACAAACTTTTCTATAAACAAGAATAGCTTCTATATAAGCTAGCTCATTAAATAGCATAATTATTAATTCAATCTAATAAGATTTTTGTTCCAACTTTTCCTTAATCAAAAATAGGTTTTATACGAGCTAGATCTTTAATTAGCATATTATTCCTATAAGTCAAACGATTGTTCCAAGTTTTCCATTAATAAGTTTAATGATTCCACCCTGCCAGGAATTTATAAGTCTAATGCAAATTAGTATATAGGAATTAGCTCTGAGTTTGCTAGCTTTTTAACTATCATATTGTTTATTTAAATCTAATAATTCCACCTTGCTGAGAACTTTATATATCTAATGAAAAAGTAATATATTACAAACTGTCTCTACACAGGTTAGCTTATAAATAATATATTAATCATATAAGTCTAACTCTAATACTTCTCTGTGAAAATCTAGAAAAAAATCTGCAAAATTGTTCTAACTTTTTTTTATTCAAGAATGGGTTCTGACTACTTTTCCGAAACTGTCTGAGGACTATCTAGAAGCTATTTGAAAATCAAGTAGAAGCCATCTAGAAGACATTTGGAAGCTACCTGAAAGCTATATAAAACTATTTAGTGAATTAGTTTAAAGCTTCAGTTCAAATTCTATCATAGTATTGGATAATATAATAGCCTCTGATATATAATGGGCATCAGCCACAAGCAGAAACAGTTGGCTTATCACAATCAGAACATGGTACCCATTTTTTAGCTTTTTAATAAAATCAACACTTTTCAAAACAAATGCAAATATTTCTACAAGCATTCCCAGTATTGCAAAGATAAGGACAGAAATATTCACTAATCATTCTATTTTTTTATTACTAAATTTCAAAAGATTAATTAATAATTAGTTAATACTTCAGTTTGGAAAAGGTAGCTAGAACCTTTTGGCAAGCCTAAAAATACCATCTTCGGTAACAACTTTATAATCGAAAAGTGAAAAGAATAGAAAATAATTAATTAAAGAAAAAAATTTATAAGAAAGTAATAGTATGACGGTTAGAGATAACACTATAGTTAGAAAAACAAGAAGCAATAAAAAAGATACAATCTGTAAATATTGTGACCATGAATACTCAACACCTCAAAAACTTCATGAGTATCTTAGGTGAAAAAATCTATGCAAACTATTACAAGAAGCTAACCAACAACTCATTCAAGAAGATATTCAAGAAGCAATTCAAGTGGCTATCCAAGAACCTGTTCAAAAGAATAGAGACTATATTAGCCAGGAGGAGGTAGACAAATAGGTTAATCCAAATGTCTGAAAATCTGGTGAATATTTTAGAATATAGGGAACATGACTACAAAAAAGATAGAAAGAACTTGGTCTAGATAAAGATGAATATCTTAAAACAAATAACTTGGATGACTGTATGACTCTCTGTTATGATTTTGAACAACATGATCCAGAAGCAGTTAGACCACTAACAAAAGAGGAATTAGAAGAAATTAAGAAAGACCAGAAAAAAATCTAGAGTTTAGAAAGCAAGAAGAGTTGGGGGTAGCAATTAAAAGAAGAGCTGTAGCTATACATTGTGCAAAAGTTTCTAAATTTTATCTAGATAATAAAAGCAATATATAAAAAATATTAGAAAGTCAAAGAAAGCAGTTTAGGGAAATACTTGAAAAAGAATTTGATAAGCATAGACAATTTAAGTTTGCTCTCTGTTCTCTTATCAAATTTCTTATTGATGATAAACCTGGAAATAATAAAGTAAAAAAAAAGAATTCACGAATTGATTGGCTTAGAAATAAGCAAATTATAGTTTATAATAGAGATAAAATAGATTTTTACTTAAGCAATGCTTTTAAACAAATTCTATATCAAGTAGAGGAAAGAGGAGATAAGACTAATGCTTGAGAATATATTTAGGTAGTAATATTGTATCTGGTGGGGTGATTTGGAGTTCTTCTCTTACAAATGAGTGTCTAGAACCATTGTAAAGCTTATAGAGAATGGGTTGATTTTCTTTTATTAAATAAGAATCAATTGTAAAAACTTCAAAAGACCAATTGCAATCAGTAGCTCTCCTTTTCCTACCTTCTAATTTACCAGGTTCTAAAAGGTGTCGAACTTCTGTATAACTAGGTAAAAGCAGTTCATTATAATCAATTGGTCTTCTATGCTTTACCGAAGGTCTAGCTATTATTTTTTTTCCTTTTAATGCTAGTTTTACAGCTTTACTATAAGATATTCCTATTAACTGAGTGTGAGAATTATTGTAAATATTATTATTTATATGAAGACTCTTAACCCATACTCTAGATCTATCAATTAAAGGTAAATAAAAATCTTTAGCATCTTGCCAAATATAAGCATTCTTGATAGTCACGTTTAGCAATAGCTACACCATGTTTAGAGTTAGCATATTGAATTTTTACACCATGACAAATTAATAAATCTCTATACTCACCTATAAATTCTGTACCTCTATTAATAATTAAAACATTTGGCCAAATAAGAGAACAAATTGGGTTATCATAAATTTTTTGAAATGCTTTGGCTATTTGTATAGATGATTTATTGATTAAAACAAAACTACAAAGAAACCTAGTAGCCACATCTTTTATTACAAGCCTATGCTTATAAATTCAATTGCCTATTTTAAAATAAGAGAGTGGTGTAGTATCAGATTGATGTACATTATTTAGATTTTGTATATCATTAAAAGAAGCATACTGAATAAACTTTGGCCGAGGCTTGTAAATCTAAAATAAGGCCTACTTATTTAGCCAATTTTGATCTTTGTAAGAGTGAATTCATATCCAGCATTTTTACAAACATCTCGTATTTTTTTAGCAGCTCTATAATAATCTTCAGATTAATAATATAATCTTTGTAATAACAAATTTTGTTTTTTAACCTTTTTAGTCTTAGCAATTTCTTGATCAAGTTTATAGGCTTTTTGTGAATCGATATAAATCAAAGGTTTTTCCATTATACTATAGTAAATAAAAGATAGAGGAATTACAACAACGTAATTAAGAACTCTATGAGGTAGTATCTTAATTAGCAAAATCAAATAGGAATTTCGAACAACGACTATATATCTTAGAATGAGTTATTGGTATATGGAAAGAAAGAATACGATTTCTAGAAGAAGAGTTAAATAACATGATCAAAGTTTCTATAGAAGAGAAAGAGGAGTTAAAAAAAGAAATCTCAAAACTAAAAAGAATCATTTACTAACTTGAGGAAGAAAATAAAAAGAAAGATAAAGAAATTTTGAATAAGAATAAGTTAATAACTGAATTCAATGAACGAGAGACAAAATTAAAAAACCAAATACAGGAAATATCCAAATCTGCGGGCAATACTCCCAAAGCACAAGATTATACAACCAGATTAGTAGATGAGAATGAATGGCTTAAATGAGAAATAAATATGGTAAAAACTAATCAAATGAATAGGATTAACAAAATAACTCAACAAAAAAATTGTATTACAGACTTGCTTTGTCGAAATTTTGCATTATCCTTATTAGGATATAAAGATAGATTGGAGCTTATAAATACCAGAAAGGCTTTGCAAAATGCAAAAGCATAGAACTTTAATGAAAATGAATCCAACTCTGATAAGTATTTTTTAAATATTTATAATTTTGATCAAAATTTAGATATGAATACAATAGCCGAATTGGCCGATACTATAGACCACTCCCTAGATAATACAACAATATGTCCAACTATTTTAAAAAATCAAATTAAAAGAGCAACAAGATCAATCTGACAAAAATATACTAACCTGCAACAGGATTTAGTAAATAAATAATGGAATCATGATATATATAGGCAAGAGTATGATTAAGCAATGCAAGAGAGTAATCAGTTGTAAATCAATGCTCAGAATCAAGTAAACAGAATAATAAATAATATAGCAAGAAAGCAAACCCATATTAGTAAATTGCTATATGAAAATTTTACTTTTTAGTTATTGTATCATCAAAATACTCTTTACTTCAATGATGTAGAGCTTATAGAGATTTGCTAGAATATAATCGAGATAGATTATATGAACGATATAAGAAGTGAAAAAATAAGACTTATACAGAGCACCAGAATATTTTAATTTTAAATCAACAAATTTTTGTGCTACAGAATAACCCCCAAATCAAATAAACATGGCTGAGGCTAAATGTTTACTAGTATTAAAATTAATGGCTCTTGCTCTTGCAAAATTTCAACCCTATATAGATCAAGAACTATCTGATAAATACTTAAATAAGGTTATTCAATTATAGGCATATCTTAAAGAGCATATAATAGTTCTTGAAAATGTAAATGCAGAAGATTTTAATGATGCGGTCAAGTGTAATATTTTAAAATCTATAATGGGCAGAAAATATGCTCCAGTACCAGCAAATAATAGTCTTGTAGTAGAGAATCTAGCTATAAATTCTCCAGATACATTATGAGGCTAGTTAAGAGCAAAATACTAATATGAGATAGTTAGAAATTAGCAATTAGCTATTCAAAGATTGACTTAGAAAAAATATCAGCTCTATAATACTTTTAATATCTATGAAGCTAGAATTTAACCATTATTATTAGGAGTGGCAGACAATGATATGCAAGTTATAGGATTTCTTAAAAGCTACTTAACAGGTAATTTTTATATATAGATGAGAATTGCAAATCTAGCAGGCATTAATACATTTTTTACTAAGCTAAAAAATATGTAGCTAGAGCATGCACCAATTTTAAATAAAGATCAAGTTTTTCAACAATCTTTCTATAACTCTAAAATAATAGAAGCTTCTGTAATTTCACAATCGATATTTCCTACACCTAATATACAAAAAATAGTTGATGAAACATTAGCAAAACAGAAAGCCAATTACGATACTGAGATAAAAAAATTAAGAAAGAAACTCCAATCCCAAAACATACAGAAAATACAAACACTAGCTCTACAAATCATCAAACCAGTTAGACAACCAAGAGGTTCTCTATCATCATTGCGATCAGAAGAAGGTTTCTAGAATTATTATATATCTAAATTTTTAAAAGAAATAGGTTTACTAAATAAGAATAAATTAGATTCAGATTATCCTGTAAAGCTTTTAAAAATCTCACCTACAACAAAGCTAGCAACAAAAGCAATCTGAGAGAATAAACAGAATAGAATCGAAAGTAGATGAAATCAGTCAAATAACATCTCAATTTGAAAGAATGATGCTTGATAATTATTTCAAAAAATCTGTAGCTAAATCAAATTTAACACATCGATACTTTTCTCCTCTAATACCTTCCCAATTCTAATATGTATTTCCTGATTCAGATGATATTGAGGATGGTAAAGTTGGATATAATGAGGAAGATAATATATGGCATGCTTCATCTCAGTTAGAAAAAAAAAACAGGTATTACTAGTAAATAATAAGTCACATATTAATGTACAAAGCACACTTACTATGAAAGATATAATATCAAAAACTTATAATCAACTAATGAATTTGTTATCACCAGCAATGCAAAGAATAAGTAAATCCAACTAGTCTTATAAAGTTTAGGAAGAAACCAATGAATGGTTCTCATCAATACAATATCTGCATAACAATATAAATGACTTAATGATTTCTAATAGTTTTTTAGATCCGGGTAGCGAATTCAGTACTATTAATAATGCAACTATCGAAATACTTGAGTGTGAAAATGATAAACAATCTGATTTTGCTATAAAGAGTGACAATTTGAAATATATTACTGAATCATTGGGATGGATTACGGATGTTCCAATCTCTATAAAAGATAAGGCAGGAAAAACAGTTACAGTTTCAGAGAATTTTGCATATATTAATAATGGTGAGCCCAAACTAATGCTTTGTTTAGGTATAACATGGATTAGAAAAGTTTAAGGTATTTGATCCAAATAAAAATCAATTCTAAATAAAGTTATATAAAAAGACTTACACTATCCCAACTTTTAGCAAGGTCTCAGTAGCAAAGGATCTGCCAAAAGAGGAGCAGGAATTATCATCTTAGATTTCTGCTAATTCTTCTAACCCAACTAGTAAGAAGGACTTAAAAAAAAAAGCATAATCTGTGCAAAGCTTGAAGAATGTCTTGCAAAAGCTAAAGAGTGGCTTGGTAAAGCAATAAGTACAGTTAGACCTCTCTAAATGCATGCTCTTGGGACCATACTTTAATAATATGTATTTAGAGAATAATAATAAAAAGTGCATTTACAGAGGTCAAGTATATATTTGGGCTAGTACTTAAGTGTGCATTTAAAGAGTGTGTGCACTTATAGAGGATGCACTTAGAGAGGTTCAACTGTACTATAAAAATACTTGTCAAAAAGAAGTAAATTATTTAATTTCATCTATTTGTTTTAATACCTCTTTAAGTTCAGACCCTATTTTAGATAAAATATCAATATTGTTAGTTGTATTAGCATTATACTATGAAGGCACATCTAACTTTATCTTAGTAGAGGCTATACTTGTTTTGTCTATTTTCTTTTTTTGGTTATTTTTCTTCAGTGATAAAGCAAATGGAGAGAAAATAGCAAGAGGATAACCTCTCTCAAGACCTTCTATATAAGAGCTTACAGAGAGGGTAGTTTCTATAGGAATTTCTGAATCCAATTTTGCATTAGAAATATTAGCTATTGGCTGATTCTAGGCAATTCTATTAGCTTTTTTACCTCTCCAAATCTGATATATGCATTTCATTAATGTATTATACTTGTGCATTAATTCCTCTAAAACTTTTTTCCTCGGCCTTTCATTTTTATGTTATATAATAAAATCATAATCAGCTACACAGGTCAAAATCAAATATATCGGACAAGATATTGGCTGTCCGATACTTCTATATTACAAAATGATAATTTAACAAAGTATCATTACAAAAAATAGTTAGATGATATCTTGCTAAAAGTCAACAGATAATTTAAGAAGATTTCAGTTAAATATCAAATAAGATATCGGCCGTCCGATACCCCTATAATATACAATGATAGTTTTAACAAAATTTCATCCCAAAAAAAAGTTGGTTGAGAAGATTTTGGTTAAATATCAGACAAGAAAATATCTTGTAGAAATTATATCAATATCTTTATATGTATATATATGATAGTTATACAAGTTACAGCCACGGCTTATTAATTATCCTGATCGTAAATACCATACGTCAATTGTAATAATGTTAATTTGCAATAAATGTATCAATTAATTAATATATATAAATCTTAAAATATCAATAATATATAACTATCGATAAGAAGTATATTAGATCCTTACTAAATACAGATATAGCAATAGATTATCTCATGTACGTACAACCATTATAGATTATATTTTCTATTTAACGGAATTACTGACATATACTCTTGAGGTTTTCTCGATCCAACTATAAAAGTACTAGCAACAAATCTTCCCAGTACATTATACATGGGAATTATGCAATCATGATCTAAATCATAAAAATCATTATTCCATAATTCTATATTACAAATTTTTTTATCATTTTTGCTGATACTAAGTTAATATCTTAATTTTTTATCTATTTTTTTGTACCAGTGAACGTATGCGAGATTATATTTCGTTGATTCTTCTGGATAGTCAACATAATGCTCAAAAAAGAACTGAACCTGGCCCAGAAATGTGATTACATTTTCATCTTCGGCAAACTTTGCAGGAATTCTTGAAGAATTTTCATGCCGTTTAGAAAAGGTAGACCCGAAAACTTTATCACTTATTCGTATTCTTCCATATTAATTTATTATGGGTGTTATGCCTATCGACCTATCTAATTCCAAATCCTTAGATAGAACAAATATATTCATCTCGCAAGCATTATTATAGTATTTGGTAAGTAATTCTATAAAATCTTAGGAGATATATACATTCATTCTACTTGGTGTAAGGAAGATTCCAGGAATTGAATCGGACCCAATACTAATACCAACCCTCTCTTCTACCAATCTTGATATGGAAATAAAATTTATTGCATCTTCATTAGATATTTCGTATTTACTCAGACTTCTGGAAGATTGTCTTGGAGCCAAAAAAGACAAAGCTTCAGATAAATTAGTATCATTAAAGTTACTAATTAATCCATCAACTTGTCTATTTCTTTGGATTATATTCATAAGTTCCGGTTTAATTTTTCTATTACTATTTTTGTAGCTTCTTATAAAATAAAAATTAATATTACTAAGAATATAGAGATATCGACAAATTATAATTTATTTTATTTTATTTTTTTAAGAATATAGAGATATCGGCTAAATTATTATTATTATTATTATTATTATTATTATTATTATTATTATTTTATATATTTTTTTATTTTATTTTATTTTTTTTTAATTATTAATTTTTTTAATTATATTTACCTAGTAATCCATTCATCCGTTCAAAGCTAAAGCACCAGAAAGAATTTAAAAGACCATAATCTAAAGTGCATTTACAAATATGGAGGCTTAAATGAAGGTTAGGAGAAATTTTTTCAGGACCATATATGTCTTCAATAATTTTTATCATGGCTATCAGACATTGATGTGCTTCTTCTAAATCTTTTTCATCAATTGTTCTACAGACTAATAGGCTATATATCTGAACGAAATAAGTAAGAATTTTTCTGTCTGCTTCACATAACAGATCCCAGCAAATTGTGGTAGCATATACAAGGATAAAAGTCTTCTATTAATCTGCTGTGAACCTTGAAAATCCTTCTCCGGTAGAGATCTTACAAGGGATTCTACCAATGTCTGATGGTACATCAATTTTATCTGCTAATAGCTGCATAGTTTTTAACTTCTCAGGAGTTAACCGGTTATTTTCAATCTATAATTTAGTTACGATCCATTTGGCTACTTCCAAAAAGAGGAATGCATTAGGCCCACTACCAGAAATCTAACGGAATTGAAGTATGGAAGCCTATATATTTCTGACCATCTAACAAGAGTATCAGAAATATGCTGTTTTCTTTGATCAGCTATCTTATACATTTTCCAATTCATCGCATCATTTCGGATAAGGTGGTGGTTGTGTTCTACAAACCAGGAATCCATATCGGAAATACCACCAAAATAAGGTTGATTCTAAACATTGTAATTAGCTCTTTTATAGTATTGATGACATGCAACCTTAACCGAAATATGCCCACAAAGTTTTCTTGCTGCAGGTAAGTCACTAGAACAACAAATTACTGCGCATTTGATTCTCTTGCCAGATAGGGACTCAAATGTGGATGATAGGTCTATCACTTCCCAAAGTTCTATTAGCTGATCGACAATAGATGCTAAGTAGTGATTTAATTGATGTAGTTTTGGTTCTGATAGCCCAGATATGATAGCCAATGTTATTATATTGGATAGTTTAAACCTTTTACGCATAATAAATTAACATTATATTTGATCAAAGAATGTATAAAAAAAAAAAAAATGTATAAAAAAAAAAAATAA